ACTCCTTTGCCTACTTTGCTAAAACAGAAGTGTGTGTCAGTGAAGCACATAGACAGCTGGAAAAAGAATGCGACAGATGCATTCCAAAACATAATGACCAAGTACAAGACCATTGAATGTGTTGTGAATAACCCTGTGTGGACGGTGGCTGAAAAGGAAATTTCCTCGTTAGCAAAACAAGACGTCATCCTACTGCATGATCAGACCAAAGGGGTTCTGACAGTTGCAGGCTTAGTTCAAGATGTTGATCGGCTGAAGCAAGTGGTTGAGGGAATCGTGCACAAAGTCACCAATCAAATAGAGAGAGCGACTCAAATTGTCTCTGATGAGCTGCAGGTGCCCCCAGGCATGTTCTACATACTGCAGCAAGATGGCCTCCAGCAGGAAGCCAGTCATTACCCAGAGATGACTTATGCATACAAATCTGATGTCAAGAAACTGATTCTGTCTGGTTTACTTTTTGAAGTGCTTCCCTTGAAAAGTTGGATTTTAGAACATCGACTGAAAATGAAACAGAAGCAGGTGGAGATTGAACCTGATATTTTGAGTTTTCTCAGTGCTGTCAACAGTGAAGAGATGTCGTCTCACCTCTTTACCTCTTGCGGCATCGCTGCTGTATACGGGATTGATGGTTCCAACGTGGTGCTGACTGGAAATTCTGACAAGACTCTGGCTGACGCTCAGCGACGACTGAGGGATGCTCTGACATTTCAGAATATTGCCGTTAAGGACTGGGCTGTCTTGAGCAGACCTGAGTGGCAGATATTACACGAAAAGTTAAAGGACACTTACAGCTCATCTAAGAAGAACACAGTGACCATAAAGCTTACTGCCCAAGATAGAATCACAGTGTCTGGATTTTGTGAAGATGTGAAAGAAGTCTGTGAAAGCCTGTCTGATTTTATCAACAGATATACACGCGTGCAAGAGGTTGTCCAAGTCCAATCTACTGTAGTCACAAAATATATTCATGAGAGGAAAATACAGACTTGGAAGACTTTTCTAACCTCTAAAGATGCTGAGGTCTTTTTTGAGTCAAAGAGACCCCGTATACAACTGAAAGGAACACAGTACTCTATCCAGGAAGTGAAGAGCTTCTTTCAAAAAATAGTAAACTCTCTTCATGTAGATTTCCTGAAG